TGCATTTAAGGGTTAACTAAATGTTTACTTAAAATATAATTGTGATTTTTAGACGTCGTAGAAAAAAATATAGTACTATGCTCAAAATATTCAAATCCGGTTTGCCATTTCTGTACAAAATCTATCCACATTATGCCTACCTAAACTACCTAACTTATCGGTTGCATATTTCAGTTTATCGATTGAAATGCTTGGAATATTTTCTTCATGTGGTTAGACAGGCTTGTGTAAAATAATTATGTTTTCAGATTTAGTCCAGGTAGGTATAAAGATACGTTTCAATTGATAACTCAAAGCAACAACAAATTCGGTGGCATATCTTAATTTCCTTTGGGATCGTGACGCAATTACAGAAGAGTACCTTCTCAGACTAGCTACAAGGTATTTGAGAGCTGTCTTGAAGCAAGTTTCCGAGGTCAACGCGAATACTTGTGTACCAGCCGCCACTGTGAAGAAACTCTTCGTTTAAGTTTTTCGAACTACTGCAGCAGTTTTCAATGTCATGAAACTGCGGGCCGTGTTGAATTAAATTTCGCTTTCAGAATAAACCTTGAATACCACTTAAGTTGAACGAAAGTATTCTCCAAGTTAGGTAAGACCACATGAATCACTAGAGAGCCGAACATTAATATTCATCCCCTAAACCTACGGATATTTTCTGGCGTCATTTTTTCAAATAGAGACAATGCTATAAAAATGAAAAATATTGACAAAAGGCGGGCGCTTTGATCGGAAAACAAAGACATCTCCCGATTCAGGTTTGCGACACCTGTGCGTATTGTGTTTTTCTGGCTCATGAAATATTGGATAAAATGAAAAGCAAAAATTATAGCAAACACTTGTGTTTTCACAAAATTTACCAGAAATCCGCGAAAACTGTATTGCGGTTTGTGTACTTAGGCGTTGCTAGGAAACTAAAGGACAGTGTACTCGGTGTTGCTTTTTTAATATACTGCAATACGGCTGCCTTTGTTACTTTACTTAGGTTATTTAAATTAATTAAAGTCAAAGAAAGTTAACCAAGGAACGCGATCGTAGTAAATAATGTAATTAATCAAATTTTAATACGTATTTACAAATTATATCACCCAGAAGTAGCATTCACGCTTCATGCCAATAAAATAAATATTCTTCTCTAATTATTTTTTCGTTCTAGCGTTACTTTCGATCTAAATTTAAACTAAGGGATTCAAAAAATAAGAATCCTCATTAAACATCGTTGTCAACGGTAAAAACCATTAAAATACCGGGTAGACATTTGTTAGGCTTACAAAGAAAGTACTGACTACCTATTCTTTGGGAGCGAAGTTTTATTCAATCCTGTATATTTACGTTAGTAGATGATACAAAGTTTGGTTTTCTATTTAGTTGTTACTTACAGTATGAAGTAGGTACATCGTTGGGTATTATATAAAATCTGCTGGCGGGTATGAAACTTGAGACTTGAGGCTGATCTCCTTTATTATGCTGCTACTCAGGAATCAAGTTTGTAAACTAACCACAAGAGCCGAAGTCGATACCAAGATAAATTATTAAATTGTACGGTGCCTTAGTTTCTTGGCCTCTTATTATTTTTGGAGCGTAATAACTCGTAAACCTATATTAATATCACATTGAAGCTATATTGACAGCTAATAAAACAGTGTGAGCTTAGTAGCGACGTAAATTCCTCGTGACTGAAGATTGGAGATCTCTCGACATGAGAACGGACGCTAAAAGACAAATAACTCTTACTTACGCGTTTATTCGTAAAATAAGTCGATAAATTATGCAGCAAGCCTCTCGCCGAAAGTTATCAGGTAATGGGGTTTAGCTGCAACACACTTTTGAGTATGGCTCCGAAGAAAATGCACAGAACTTGTCGGTTGTTACCTCAGAAGAAATTATCTTAAACCTTATTCTTCTTCTTCTTATGATATTCGTGAATATTCCTACTGCAATTTTACTCAAAGCATTTTTCTTTTGACTTTACTAACTTTGTTTCGCATATTTTGTCTATAATAAAACGCTCAGGTTCTACGAGTATTTCTAAATGACGAACGCGCGCTTTCTCACTCCGTGCACGTTGATAAACCAGACAGGGCGCTAGACTGTTAGACGCCGTATTCGTATTGTACTTGTAGTGGCCATATCGTTTTGATCGCTTTCTGAATTGCTAGAGTATTTCATGGAATGGTTGCATTCCAAGAAATGTTTGACTGTGTATTTGCCACATCATAAAGGGTTCCGGCAGATCAATGATAAAAATCGTTTCTCGATGTAGGTAACTAAGCCTCAAAAATATGTAAAATAGTTGAATTACTGATAGAGGCGCTACATGCTCTATCATTTGTTCACCTGGGACATTAATTCCCAGGTGAACAAAGAAAAGTCCGGGGTAACAAGGCGTATTTTTCATCTCTTTTACTTGTTTTCTCTTCTTATTATACAGCCCAACACATTCTGTTTGGTTAGGTTAAAACTAAGAACCGTGACCCACACTTCTTTTGCATTGGCGAGGGTGCCCGCAAGAGTGTGCCGCGGCATTGGCCAAAAAGCACTTTACATTTAACCGCCTTCGTTACATCACCCAGGTAAAAAATTGTAATAAACTTATTCAAAACCCTGATGAATTAAGGATTTGGTCAAATTGTGTTTCCCACATTATGTAATTTGGACGTTTCAAAAACTACCTAGATGCCTTGAGTAACTTGTAAAATGAGTAATTGAACATATCTATCTATCTTTAGTCATAGGGTCTAGGAATCATCTCAAAAAACAATACAAATAACATCCTTTAATTATAGACCGTATTACATTCGTAAAAATCCTAAGGCTGCTTGCATGTTGAAAGTAAATCACTGAACTAGATTAACGGTGACAGGAACCAGCATGAAGGACAGGAATGAGTAATGAAATGACAATGAACAGTCTTCCCCGTGGAGGGTAGGTGAATAAACTGCATTAATGGGGCGTCGCGACACGTCGGCGCCTACTCCGCGCGTGTCAAATATGTATACGTATACAAATACGTAGGTAAACTTATTGTTATATACCTACGTGTTTATGAAAACATGACTCTATGAATGAACTAAATAAGTCGCATATTGATTAGGAATTAACGCTCATGCGAACCTAACATTGAATAAATCCCTACGATAATTGTTTAGCTTTTACAAGAACGTTCCTAATTTCCTCTGCTCTGTTTCCGTGCGCTTTGGAAAACAAGTTACGTCTACAGAGCAGGGTAGCACGTTGTCGTAATTAGGTATAATCACAGGTACATTGTGTTCTACTAAGAAAACATCGTTTTAACAGTTAATTAATTTACGAGTTGAAATGTTGCCTGTTCCGAGATAATTTAAACAAAGTTTTTACTAACTTACAGGAGGGAGTAAAGTTTATAGCCAGTAAAATGAATAAATTTATAAAATATGTAATGTAAGGTAGTTAATTATTAACTACCTTACATTACATGGCATTTCGAATAAGGTTCGGTTATTTGTAAGGCAGAATAGAATCGGCAGTGGGTCTCGTACCGCAGTGTTATGTAACAGACTGCCGCTCGATATAGACTGTACCTACTACATGACGGCGGCGCGATGGCTACCGGCTGACGACGACGACGTCTGCTCAAGCCTGCTGTTAACCTATAGGGACTACGAAATCACTTCAATTGTTTATCTACATTTAAGTATTCTAGCCATGGACAATAACCCGCCTTCCAACCCCTCATATCGCTCGCTACCTTTTCAATCGAAACTTTTTTCATCATTTTACTAATATTCTGTGTTTATGTGGGATTTGACAATATTGGCAAACCTTTGAATGCTGGAACATTATAATCCCGGTGACGTATCTATATACTTATGTCACGGGCTTCCAAAGAAAGACAGCAGGTTATTCTTTTGAAAATTAATGTATTCTATTTGGTACCGAACCTACTTGTAAAATAAGCAAGCGAAGAATGCGTAATACAGTAATAGTTTCTTTACAAAGACTGGGAACTTGAATAATTTACATTTTATTCTCAAAAAGCTTTTGAATATCTAATCATTACCCACCTAAAACTAGAAGGCAGTGGTATAGAATACATGGGAAGGTTAATGCAAAAAAATAATTCTTTGTTAATACCATGTGTAGAATCAAACGTCACGAGAGACAGCAAAGCTTAGCGAAGCTTAAATCATCAGCTCAGTGAGATACATACTAGAACTCACGTAACGGACTAAGGGCTATAGCTAAAGCCGTGCTCCATACGATCATCTAAAGTAATTTGGAAACCCAGTACTAATTTTCTTCAATATCTGTCGTCAACCAGGAGACTAGTTTTGAAAACGTTTTGCTAGCAAGTATTATTCCGAGAAGCCGAGGTCTGCCAGTCCTAGATTACGTTCAGCAAACACTCCATGCCATAGTGTACAGTGCGCTTAACTTACTAAGAAGTGGTTTTGCGCGTGGCCGTCTCATATTGCTCATCTTAATACTAGAGACCTAACTTCGTCTCAACTAGTTACCTTAATGCCATTTTGAAATTACAGGTACTTGTATTATTATAATGCCGATGGTACGAGCCGATCTATATTCTGATATGGAGCTCGTGTAGCAGTTGAAAGGCATTTATTTTAAAGTTTTATCGATACATTCGTTCCGATAGGGGCAGCTCTCGGGACCTGCTTGCAGTCTGTGTATATAATTCATTTATTTTTCGCCGCAGTGTTATGTAACCTAGATGTTGATTTCAATGGGTAAAAGTCAGGTAGTTTTGTGTTAGCGGTTTTTGTCACATTTAATAGGAATAGAAAGTACATGAAAGGTTACTAAGCATTTAATCAAAAATATTTTGTCATGCTTATTGTTCCTATTTGTAAGAAAATAAATAAAATAATTATCGTTGAATTCAATAAATGACGCTTGAAAATGGGGTAGCACTGGTGCAATTTCCATTTCCAAGTCATAGACATAGGAATTATTAACTTAAGTTTTTCCTTCTTGTAATACGAATGTTATGTTGTTACTAGCTACCTGTACCCAACAATGGATGAATTGGCTAACCAGCTCAACTACGTGCTTGGTCACTTCGGGATCAAGACGTTCATCGGATTTGGAGTCGGTGCTGGCGCCAACATCCTCGCTCGATTCGCTCTCGTGCACCCACAGAAGGCAAGTATTTTGATAAACTATACCCTATTCCAATAACTTACTGTTATTTAACCCTTTTAATACCTACCATTACCAAACAACTTACTAAACCAAAAGATTTAGCTCGGTTGCTTTATGCAATGCACTTCCATTAACATTACGCGACTGACTGAATAAATAACGTTCAAAGAGTACCTTCTGCTTGAAATCTGAACAAGCACTTCGTGGAGCTTATAACTTCAGTAAAAACTTGCCACTTTTGCCTCGTCAAACGTAGCAGCACTTTATTTATTTTTGGGCGTAAAGCAAAGAAAACCGACAGGTTTTTATTCAGCAGTTTCTTTTATAAAGTGCAAGATTAACAAGCAGCCATTATTTGTAAGCTGTTTTCTACGGCCGTTGTTCCGCGACAGAAAGCGGTGCAAAGAACTTCCATCAACATATTATGAAGCTCTCGCTCAGTAATTGGATTGAGAAGCTGATAAAGGACGCGGTAACACGACGCAAGGCGGTTAACTTACTGGTTTACACGTTACACGACACTCACTATCGTTTACTTACTTACTTACAATATTGTTTGCTACTGATGTATTTAAAAACATAGTGTTTGATTTGTTTGTAATTTTTATAAGTACACAGAACAGAAACACAGTTTAATACATAACAAAGGAAGCTACATAAAAATAATAATCTCAGACTAGTCTTCTGCAAGTTATTAAAATGTAGCATGATAATAATACTACGATTTCTTTTTATTAAAAAATGATTCTTTAAAACTCTGCTTCGTGAAAGGGGCAAAGGAAAAATTGTAAAGAAACTAAGCTCTTTGAACGACATGTAAGCCGATGTGCAGGGAAATAATGTCCTACATCGCTATTCAAAGAAAAGGCTCCCGCTGTATTCGTAGCACTTTTGAATGCAGTAAATACGCCGCGCATTCTGGTCGAGAGATATTGGAAACATATACATCACAAGTGTGTGTTGTCTCATTTCTGAGAACAGCTCAGTGATGCTCCCACTCATTGTTCCATGGCGACGCGGACGTCGCTGTTATCCGTTGACTGTGTATGTTGTCACTAAGCCCCTTAGTCCAGCTAAATGGGGTCGAAACTCCTGAAATATTTATGTTGCGACAATCGGCATTTGTTTTATAGTGCTCTAGTTTTTAAAACGTTTACCCAACCTCCACTTTACGTTTTAGTGTGTTTATTTAGTACGTTTAAATTGCAAATTCACCTCTTAGGCAAAGCCGCGCTCTGTATTTTTCGCTAATTGTATTTCTGAGGGTGATTGGAAATCTTTTATTTATACGTCACTTACCTCTGAGTACGTACGACTAGATAAACTTAATCCTGTCGTTTCACCAGTGTAAATACTTACGAGGTAGATAAATAAAAACGAGTGAGTAGCCAATCAAGGCAGTCGCAACCTCGGCGGTACGGGCGCAGTGTTGTGGATTATGCTCACTCCAAGCCTCCAAGGTGATTCTCGTTGAGACGAACTCGGGTGGGGCGGTGAGTGATCGCTAATCACACAGACACAAATAGGTCGCGCACGGAACACGTCCGTTGTGGAAGAATTGCACAGAAATCCGCTATTATTTACCTTCCACTTCAAAGGTGCATTTCCTTTCAACGTTTCGCTGTGTACACTCGGATACGGACGTTCTTCGGTTTAGTAATCCAACCAATCCGCTTTGCAACCCGCTTTTCTTTTTAGCCGTAATCCCCCCATGTCCTTCCTCCTTCATTACTTTTTTCTTTCGTATTGATTTGTTGATGTACACGTTTTGTTTTATAAGCCAAACTCGGTACGCCTTTTAACGCAATTGAGAGTTTTTAAAAGCAACTGAAATATTTGTAACTCATGTTAATTTTTTAAAGTACACTTATGCGTCTTTGTAGCTAGAAATAAAGAGAAAGCAAAACTATGTAGGTACCTAATATTGGTTAATCAGTTTGAAAAAATGTTTCAACAATACATACAGACTATCTAATAATGTAAAACGTGAATAAATATTATTGTTTCGTGACGTAACTATTTCAATATTTGTATGGTCTGTGTGATAATCAAAGATTATATATAATCACAAAAGATATTGGACAACAACTATATTATAAAAGGTAAAGATGGATAGGTAATGAAAACGCTTTTCAAGAGAATTCACATCAATAAATATAGCTAACACATCGTAATGATAGCTAACATTGGATGTGTTCCCTACTCCACTAAATGAACAGGTGGTGTTTCACGCACAGTAAACAGACCTGTTATCTAAAGGGGCTACGTGCAACGCGTAGTTACGTCCACACATGTATTTATTTTCCCCGAACAGACTGGTTGAGTCCTCATTAAGTCCTTATTGATCCCCACAACAACGCGTGGATTGTTCTGAATACAACGTTTCTTTCGCACAGCAAACATATTTCAGAAATGGCACATACATAGCTCCTTCATTTTCCCTACCTTATGGATAACTTTAAAACGATTTTCATGTCTACTTTTAAACACTGAATAGTGATACTGTGTAACTTTAGAACTCTGTCAATTTTATATGTATCCTTGTTTTCTATTAAATTTTTATTTTTCATAAATCATACTCAGAAATATTTATTAATCATTAGAAATCTTAATCGGCACAACATACAGTAACTATCATGATTAAAAATACTTGTTTAGTAGAAAGTCCAATACATTTCGCCTCATGAGACAGTCTAGTTTCCGTTGTTCGTATTAAACTTTTGCTTGTTCGCATAGACGTACATTGAGATATAATACATTGTATTGTGGATTGCCCAGACAGACATTCCCTTACTTGAAATCTTTTTCGCGTTTGGATTCGCAGACAAAGCTCTATGATTCGAAATGTTTATACAAACGGTCTACGTCGAAGGTACTTGGAAGTATTATATTATTGATGCCGACATTTGATTATTTATGTTGTCTAACGTGCTAGTTAGAAATAAAATATAATTTTATATCATCATCACTACTAATAATATAGAAAAGAATAGAAATAGTAATAGAATGAAATGGTTTAACTCTTGGTGTGCCAGAACTAAGATCTACGTGAAACACAGAGTATTTTCTATGGTCTGTAGTCAATGGCTTAAACACAAATTATATATTTTTAACTTAAAATTTTCATAACATATTGATATACACAAGAATGACTAAACTTACTATACCTATACAGTTTAATTTGTCAGTAATTGGAAGTAATTTATTGTGCCACCTGACTATGGCAAACAAGACATATCCTATAGCAATACAAGAAGAAAAAGAAGAAAGAAGAATCAAATCTCACCGATTCACATAAAGTATATCTCATTTGCAACGAACGAAACACTTCATAAGGTTGATGAAAACACACAAATGAAGGTCACCGGAGCCAAGGCCTTTTGTAGTGCGGCATCAAGGTGACAGCCGCAATGACAACACTTTACAGGGGTATCAATTACCCCAATCAATATAACCCACAACCTCTAATTACTGAGAGTTCTGAGGGAACCTCACTTTCATTACTTCGATAGGGGACTCTACGATGTATTTAATCAGTCAGATTCTTCTTTTAATTGTAGCGTGACGAAAAAACCTTTTAATCGTGCACATCCAATGCAATGCAAGCGTTAATTACGAAAGTAAGGATGGTGCTTCACTGGTTCCAATTTTCATGTATTTCAATATTTGTTTAGTAAAAATCTATTGACAATTTCATGTAAAAGTAAACAGCGTCCACTAATTGAACGTTAAAAGTTTTTATTCATTAATGTTTATTAGACGAAGAACTTAATTTGTATTTTTTTTTAAATATGGTAGTAATTCGTCTGTTCGTAAAATTCTGGTCAAACGCAATAAGGTACCGCGGCCTCAGCCTGGAGCTCGAGAAGAAACGGGGGTTTTCAGTCAGTAAGAGTCTGACACTCCCTCTCGCTATACCTACCCTGGGCGAGAGAAGAAACTTAATGATTTTCTCTCCACAAGAGATTAAAATGGACTATCCAACATAAAAGAATAAACCGTCGCAGATTAAAGCGTACAAACAAATGAACTATCCAAAACAAAAGAATCAGCTGTTTACTAGATTAGCGCGTTCAAACAAAACGACAAACTCTTCGGCTTTATAAATAGCAAATAAGTATAGATGATATATGGTTACAAGTGTTAAGTATTGAGTTATCATGGGACCCTTCGGCCAAGGGGACAATTATTAACAAGTGTAAAGGAATAACGCTTCCATTAATTGCGTGCCAGTGAACTATTATGTACGAAAGAATAATAAATAACTAGTGCCATGGGTGTAATGTAGATTTCTGGCTAGTTTTCAAATGGGTTTAAAAACCTCTTTATTTTGTACCAGAATTAACTTCATTTCGTATAAATCAAAACATTTAGTTTTTGTGCTGTCTGGTATGTATCGGCCATTTTTATTTATTGGTTGAAAGTCGAGTTTTTATTTTATGTTCAACCACTGGTTTTGGAAATGTACTTTATTTTTAATTATGTTTATTAGAAGCATAATATTAGATCAAATAAAATGTATTAATTGTAATGTAGTGTAATAATATTTTAAGAAGCAAAACAAGGATGTGCGGCAAGTCATAAACTGCCTTATGAAAACCCACCTTTATAACCAAAACTAGCTACTCGCGCGCGGTTTCACCTAATGCTCGGCTCCATTGGATCGTAGCGTGATGTTTTATTGCCTATAGCACTCAGGGACATTGTAGCTACGTATCAGTGAAAGAATTTTGGCAATCCGACCACCGGTTCCAAAGATTACCCCCCTAAATACAAACTTACAAATTTTACCTCTTTATAATATTAGTATAGACTATCCACTGTCAGGTTCCAAAAATGTTTAAACTAACCACGGTTAAATAATCTTTGAAGGAAAGTTATAATATGATAAACTTAACATGTATTAATTTGTATATTATTTGTTTCGTAGGTGGATGCGCTGGCCCTTATCAACTGCACGTCGAGTCAGGCCGGATGGATTGAATGGGCCTATCAGAAAATGAACTCCCGTTCGCTGAAGAACCGCGGCATGACGCAAGGCGTTCTCGACTACCTCATGTGGCACCATTTTGGACGGGTATGACTTTAACTTACATAACTACGCTAATAGGATTATGATAATAATTGCTTTTATTTTAAGATCCAATTTCGTTTATCGAATTATTAATTGTGCATTTTGCGATTGTGTTTATCGTGATACTTAGCGTAAGCGAAATGATTTTATTAGTTTCAATAACTTCTAATATAGCTAAGCGATAATATTATCAAACTAGATTGTATGTGTTAATATGTTATAAATACTAAATTCTTCTTGTTGTATGAACAAATTGGCTTCAGCTATATTGCATTATTAAAAGGTCATTTTACAACATTGCTGGATGTTGAAACATGTCTCTAAATGCATAGCCATCAATGATTAATCATCATCATCTCATAAAAGTCGATCATTCTCTACGCATTAGTCTACGAGTAGCAAATAAGTTGACCGCTATGCGCTAGCAAATTGCGTGGCGAACTTTATGCGGTGCGTGCGAACCTGAAGCCGACGTTACATATTTTATACAGAATACTGTGACCGTGACCGATTACTTTATGGTGCCGATGCTACGTACCCTTACCCCTAATGAATGCAAAACGGATCAATTATCATGTGACTATCCACCTTAAACACGAAACTAGTCTTCCATATCGCAGAAATTAGGTGCAAAATCACTTGCAGACTACATACTACAAATATTTAGTTGCGGTACACATTGGTTTCCTTGCGTCTTGTCAAATTATGTGCGGTTCTACGTGCGGCTTCGTTATATGCGATACAATTTCTTTAAAACTACGTCGTTGTCTATTGATTTATCGATCCGTCTCGCAGTTCATGGCCATAAACCTCATGACAATGGTTATTAGACAAGATTAGCTACTGATTGCTTCGCTGTAATGTTCGAAAATCTGCATATATTAAGTAATAGGTTTTATAGAAAATGAGGATGGTTTTAAACGAATGATGTATCGGTGCAGTTCCCGGAGGAGCGCAACCACGATCTGACGCAGATGTACCGCATGTACTTCACTCGGAACGTGAACCCAACGAACTTGTCGCTGTTGATCGACGCGTACGTGCGGCGCACTGACCTCGGCATCGCGCGGGAGACCGACACTATCAAGGTGCCGGTGCTGAACATCACCGGCGCGCTCTCTCCGCATGTCGACGACACCGTCACCTTCAACGGACGCCTCAATCCCAACAACTCGACGTGGATGAAGGTAATCAATTATTTCTCGTCTTTTGTTTTAGTGACTGGTTTTTAATAAACAACAAAATTATAAACACCATATCGGCACGTAGTCCATCGATGGTAACTTCTGACGTATTAGGCCCGGCTTCAAAGATGTTATATCTTTGAAGACGATATCTTTTAAGTGATCTGAGAAATCCAAGAATTTATATTCTTTTGTTTTGATATGGGAGTAGCATGTTCTTTTGTTCGTCAGTTGTGGAACCTCTTTCTCAGTTTTACATGCATTTCGGAATTAGATTCATATCTATAAGAAAAGGCTTTCCTCATTTCTTTTAGATTTTTATGAAAAAAAATTCGTCGTTCTGTCTTTGAAATAAAATGTATATCTTAATTGAATGTATTTTATAACAAATAGTACTAGTATAAAGTACTAGAAGATACAGTGAAATTTTAATTGTTTCTAACTTACCTACTTATCGTCAAACATGTTTTTACAAATACTAGTTACATATACCTAAGCAATATTAAAAATTAAAAGATGTGTATGTGTAATCACTATGAAGAAGAGATTTACTAATATTAATTAGTATTATGGCACTTTACAATTACTAAAATTAAGCCTAACACCAAAACAACTCATGTTCCTGCGTTGTGACCAAAATTCGACACTATATTTCAATTACTTTAAAGTTTTAAAAGTAATAGAAAACTTTTACGACATCGTACAGTATGCACCGATCGTGCTCCTAGCGCCATCTACAAGTTTGCATAAGGAAATAATAGTGCACTCCACTCGCAGCTATATTCATTATGGTCAGATAATATGTGTGATTGCAATTTACTACTAAAACTTGTCTTGTTAATAAGTAACAAGTATAAAAAAACATATTATAATGCTAAGTCTATATAGGTAGCCTCTATTTTGTTTAAGAAAAAAACAATTTGAATTTGAAAAGAGACAATTTTCAATGAGTAGGTATTTTTTTGCAAAAAATATCTACCTACTAATATATCTGGCACAAAGGGTGACTGGAGACACGAGACCCTCTTAAGACTAAGCACCGCCAAGTGCAATGACTTTGCCATTTTATTACACTAGAACAAGACCTGATAGCAGGATGATACGCTCTGGAACACAGACGTCATATTTATATGCGGCTGTAGCTGCGGTTTGAATATCCCAGACAGTATCGCAGCAACTTATGGCAAAAGTACAGCATTCATTCAAAATAACATCGATATATGGGCGGGGTGAACATCTTGCAGACGTCTCACCTCCCCAGTCCTTAAATCTCCAATACCCTAATCGCCAGAAGGCTTACGACGTATTCCTAATGTCCTAAGGTGTCCATGAGTGGCGGCGATTGCTTACCGTTTTCGTCAAATCCCATAAAACAAAAAAGAAGAAGCATATATGTGTTTTATAACTTCATCTGTCTATTTGTAGAGTGTGGATTAATAAGCTTCTGGAGTAGGTGAAGGTTCTGGCCAACTGGTCCATGAGGGTCACAAAATTTCGATAAGTTCCTCAAAGCAAAGTTTTCGCAGCGCATACTTCACACTGCAAAACGACGCCATGCGCCATCATTAAACTATATTTCATGTACCCATTGGTACGCAGTTTATTCTTCGCTATTAGTTTTTGAAATTTAAATCGTAATCCCGAAAAATGCAACTAGAGAATATTTAAAACGTTGGGATTATGATGACAGTGTAGCTAACAAGTTAATCTGGTTGTCAGCGCGTTGTAACAAAGTGGGCCAGTATTCTGGAAATTATACTGAACATAAATCTGACAGTGACCCTGACCTCGTCAGCTCGGTCTAACTTAGTAAACTGAGTTTGACGTAGGTACTTACCGTATTTATTTATTGCCTTTCATTTCAGCTAGTCGCATTATTAGGGCTGGGTTCGTTAATGGTAGGTTACCAAAAACAAAAAGTTGGGGACCTCATACGATAAAATTACTTGGGCAGGCACTTGGGAATCCCACCAATAACGTATGTACGCACAAATGCACAGAACTTCATTGCTAAAATCCAAATTAATCTGAACCATCAGTGAAAAGGACATTCGAGTCCTCAATGTAATGAGACTAATTTTCTCAATTTGCACTTGTGCTCAATTTCTCTACGACACTACTAACTAACACTACTAACGACTCTTGGGCAGTAGAGCTTACAATCACTGATGTAAGTAGGTAAAATAATAGGAGATTAGAAAGACGAATAGACGCACACCTTAATGGTGTGAGAATTGATTAATATAAAAGAAAAGATTTTGTAATGTAATCGTTTACTAAAGACTATTGTGCAAAACAACAACTCATGAAAATTAACTTAAAGCTAATATTTCCAATTGATGTTTCCAGATTTCGGATTCAGCCATGGTGCTGGAGGAGCAGCCAGCTAAGATATCCGAGGCCTTCCGCCTGTTCTTGCAGGGCGAGGGCTACGGTAAGTGAACCGCGCCCCTTCACTTCTACAGTCTACGTAGACATGTACCGATGCAAGCTTAGCTTTGCATTGCAGTTCGAATGTTTAACAATTGCACTCAACACGCCACGCTCAATAGATGCAATATTTATTATTTTTTTATACTAACCATCAGCTAAACTAATATCCCTTTAAAATATTAAGTAAATACGTACGAAGATTTGGTATCTGTCTGTTACTACCATCTAAAATGTATTCACCTGTATAAATGAATGTGGATGTAAACAACGACTTAATCCAATTAACATATTGCATCTATTCTGCAGCTTATGTAAATATGTTTGATATGATGAATGTTATTCATTCTTAACGTTAAAATACTGACCAAATAATGTTAAATATTATAATAGTTATTGCATAATTTACTTCTAGAATATTGCGTTAATTTTATTGGAATACGGTATCTTGCAATATCTCTTTATGTGTATTGTGTCCCTGTTTACTCTAATCTATTTAGCGAACTCCTATCTGTATGATAATTTAAGAATATTGGTATCTATAAATGGATATAACGTCACGCTTAACTAATGATAAATGGTAAGCTAATTATTATACTTGTCCTGAAGCCTGAAAGTTTATTTTTATGTCCTGTTTATGTTTGAGCCTGGATATGCGATAGCGTTATGCAGTCCCTAACAATTGGTATGTACTGAAGGGAGCTTTCTTTTTGTAGAGTTCGTAAGCTTTCAGTCCTGTGGTACTGTCGTGCTATGATGGTAACGTTAGTAGGTAGTCCTTTTGTTAATTAATTAATTCCGTAGTTTGGAATAAATGGGTGTCTAGTATTGTGTGTTTAGTACTTCAATATGGCTAGCCATTGTTATTGGTGTAGTAAGTTAGTAAGAATCATTCCAATCTAATCCATATCTTATAGGCTGGAATATAGTAAAATACAAATGTCTGCATTAATTAATCAACACTTTTATCATTCATTATTTTGTAGGAAATGCTTGAGCTACCAGTATTATTTTTAAAAATGGGATATTTGCATTATGGAATTAAGACAGGTCACTATTTGATAATCTCTCAACATATAAAGTAAAAAATAAAATATACTAGCACTCAAGTGCTCAAGTGGAGTAGTATGTAAGACTCCAATAATGCTAAACATCTCATATTTAAGACATATTATTATGTTATTAGTTGTATCATTTTATTTTGTGTTCTTTGGTCTTGTTTACAAATGTTATTGTAGATTGCTCAGGTTTTTGAATTACATAGTATTACTCAAAACAAAAATACATATTTTAAATATAAAAAAGTAATTCAGTATATCTTTCAATACGCTACAAAGAAGAGCAACTTACAATGACGCAGTAAGCAATGACCACTGTGAAGATTTTTTTTAATTATTTTTATTTTTTTACACTCGTAGCTGTGTTAGCACTTCACAAATTAAAACGACGTCCTAGTACAACCTCCATATCCAGCGTTAACGGCAGTTCTTTAATACCCCAGCTTATGTAGAAAAAGTAAGTGTTTTCACGTATATTTTACGGTTCGCGGAAGATATGAATGGACCAAATTATTTAAACAATATTTGTGAACTAACTTAACACTTTTTACGTCCATTTGTTTTCTCGTTAATTCCTTGTCTTTTTTATATCTTCCGCTCCTTCATATCCCAAGACCATCATAATGTAACACATATATGCATAGCAGGCACTTGTTTACTTGCTATTTACTGCGATTTTATTTAATAGATTTTTATTTTTGTGTGATGGTCTTTTACCAACCCAGTCAAGATACACAAAAAAATTACGGGAATCAATTCATGATTCCCGTAATTTTTGCCAAGTTCTTATAATTTTTGAGAATAACGATAGGAACTTTAGTTTCTTTTTCGCGAATGTGTCTTCAAGTTTTCAGCTTTATGGGATTTTATGCAGGGTGCATGTGTATTTTGACTGAGCTGTATTATTTCTGTTTTATAACTTCATTGTTATTGCAATATAAGTTTGTGTAAATGTAATCCAAATCAAACTTTAATTGAGTGTGTTATTTTATATTCGCTTGTTTTTGATATTTAAATAGTCAGGTTTTTAGGTAGAAATCATTCGTAATGTTTATAAGTAGTTTTTTAACATCGAATAAAACGTAAGTTTTTGGGTAGGTACACCGAAATTTGAAAGTGAGAGAGCGACTCAACTCAGTGTACTAAATAAACAAACCATGTTCTTTACTCAGGAAACCTAGCATTAACAGTGAGCAATTATGTAGTTTACTATGCTGCATAATGAAAGGCTTTTCATGCGAGATGTGGGCTCTAAAGACAAATTGTAGATTCGTTTAAAAATTCTTACGAACCGCCTTAACGAGTAATAATACATTAATTTGCTGTTTGTTTTTCAGTGGCGCCCCTGTCGCCCACCAAGATCACGGCGTACCGGCGACTGTCGGACGCCGGCCGCCGCCGCCCGTGCCGTCACTCGCCCGTCATCCGCATCACCGAGAACCCCATCTCGGAGGCGGTGGTCTGCTAAACTAACTCCCTTCCGCTAAAGCTCGCTGATTGATACCCCACGAGTGATAACTTATTCAAAACTTTGCTGCAATGTCATCGCGACACCAGCCATGTATCTAATATTACTGTCCGTAATAGTTGATAATGTGCAGAAGCACTCGGTACCTCGTGGGGCCGCTCGCGCGAGCTGGCCGGGATACACGAACATCTAGCTAAGTTCCTCACATCTTGTGAGTCGCACTGTTGAAGTTATATCATTTATCATTTAAGAAGAATTTTATTAGAACCCACTGATATATTACATTATTATATGTACCACTATATAGCGTTATATCATTCGGTTAGGCTAACTTCACACGTATGTATCTATCCATATTTGTTTACGCGACTGTGTAAGGGAGTTAGTTAGCGTGGATATTTTGTAATTTAGTAATAAATTGAACATGAGGGGCTGCTGTGAAAGCGGCGTCAGGCCGGCGTGTCGTCGCGCGCCACCAGTTTGCATAAACCGACATGGGACTCGTCATTGTGCCGAAATAAAGACTAATATTAATGTAACAGCACGTTACGCAATGTAACAGTACGTTACACGGGTAGCCAGGCACGTCCACGTTGATTTGTATTACGATAGCTGGTAATGATTATGTTGGAGCCCATGTCGGGTGGCGCGCGCAGACTCGGGCCGGGAGTGGCGCCGCGCGCGCTAACACGGCGCTGGGTGCTATGCTAAGACCAAGATAGATTTTGAAGTTGATCATTTGATGACAGTCGTTATAGAAAAAAGGATCGTTTTGTTACTTTTTTATATTTGTTATATTTTGCCTTTGTTTGTTATACTTACTTAAATCAAACAATTTTATTATAAGACGTTTTATTTTGTTTGTTGATTTTTTGCGTATTGATTATATTAATTTATATTATTATCAGTATTACAATTTGTACCAATAAGTTTTAATTATTTATTTTAAGGTAAGACATGCCTAAATTAAGTATTTATCACCGCTTTTAGTAGTTGAATTAAATAATATTAGAGAACAATAAATGTTAAACGTGCAACAGCTTATTACGAAATTTTCATTTATTATAAATATTATTAAGTTAAAGAATATAAAATGTGTAATTTTACAAGTATATTAGAAAAACAATGTGCGTAGGTTAAAATTTAAAAGGAAGGGGCGTGAGGTGATTGTAATAAAGTGAAGATTTGGCATGCGCGTATCATACTCTTCGAATTTATCGTGTATGTAGCTGAGTTACAGGCCGGTGGATATTTTACTAATCTTTTTGGCCGGCTACTTGTAGTGGTTGATTGTCTGGAAGCTGAGAGCGCTCGGGGCTCGGGAGTGACACCAGCCGGTTGTCTTAGCGAAATGATGAAGGACGGCCACACATACATACTTAGATTGTTCAGAACAATGTTTACGATGTTGAAAGGTTTCTCTTAATAATTAGAATCTTGAATCAGTAGCGGAATCTCAGTAGATCTGTTCTCCCCACCTCCGCGGTATGGCGCGGCACACTAGAGGCACGCACGGCAGGGACACGCGCCATACGCTCACACTCGAGGTCGCCTCTAAGCTTTGTAGACGTACAATCGATTAATATTTAGTTTATAGAATTCCACATTTTACCCTTTCGTTCAAGTGTAGATGTTACATTTAGATATTTTTTGTTCACTGATATTTGTGTGAATTTAATGGGTCTATTAAAAGTGATTTTATAAAGATTGTAGTTATTCATTTTGTCAAACGACAAACCTCAATCCTTCATAAAGATATAAAAATCCTTAAAAAGTCGGCGTCAAATAATGCACCATAAATTTTTTTTTATGGTATATGTCAGCAAACGAGCCGACCGATTACCTGTTGGTAAGTAATCAGCGCCACCCATGGATACCCGCAATACCAAAGGAGTTACGTGCGTTAGTGCGTTGCCGGATGTTGATTTCAAACAAAAACGTAGAGATGCTATCTCTACTGGTTAATTTCTCTATGGTTTGCCTTTTAAGGATAATGAAACCCTTATGGGTTTATGGCAAATTTAAGCATTGGGAAGGGATGGGGGAGGGGGAGAAATTGGAACTGCTGCCTGTATTGACGGAGGCGACCAGCCACTCCCGAAAGGTCATGAAAGTTTTATTTTCGTCCTCGTGGTTTCTCTTAAAAGGCAGAAGACGGCACGAAAGCTGAGTTTTTTAGTGGGTGCAAGCCCCACATGCCCTCACCGTCTCCCCGGGTGGTGTGTGTAAGCGTAAGGCACTTTTCTAAGCTGAAAAAAAGGAGAGGATTTGGGCCTCCGGTAACCTCACTCGCACAGCGAAACAAAGCTGTGGTTGTTTGACGCCGGTTTTCTGTGACGATAAAGTTATTATACAAACAATGGAGCAATATAATAAAATCACGAAATATCAATTTGTAAGTTTACTTTATTGAAAAATCACATCTTCCAGCGTGCTTATCCACTAGACACAGTGCGGCCGACGTATCTTGGTGAGTCTGAAGTTAGCCGTTTGTCTGCGCAGTGGATCTTTTAGGAACAAAATTGTGCAGCTAATCGGCTAACTTCAGACTCGCCAAGATACGTCGGCCGCACTGTACCTAGTTTTTTGGGTGAAAAATAAAGTATGTTGTCTTTTCCATACAATTAATTATTAAAAGAACCATACTGCATTACTAAAAACCAACCCGTTCCTTAACATCGGCCCTAGAGGGCGCACCTGTGGTGGTCTACTGGCTATTTGAGACGCACGTGGAACGCTATGCACCGTAAGCTTGAGTCTGGTTCTGGTCGGGCGGCCTGCTTCCCTTACTCGCCGCCCGCAAACCCATATATTACACCCCAATTTTTTATGGACGGAAAATCATCATATAACGTCTCTCGCCTATGGTATGGCGAGAGAGAGTGTCAGACTCTTACTTGGCTAAAAACGCCCCCATTCGTATAAATCTTAGATTGGTTTAACTGATAGAACTGAAATTAAGGATTGGAGCAACAATGATGAAAACGTCCGTTTATATTATATATTTTTTTAAATTAATTAAATCAATCCCTATTTGGATAATGGAGCACGCAATGTATTAGTTTGAACCTATCGTAACCCCTGTATAGTAGAAGCCACTATATTAACGTAGGTGTGCGATAGGGGAATTCATACCTAACCCGAATTGAAATGATTACATTTTCTCCAAAAACTGCTTTGCCATGATAATAACATGATATTGGTTTGAGAAAACATTGCTTCTCTCATGGATAGCTTTATTTTGCTTGCTCACGGTGTAAGTTCACTCAATAGCTTAATGGCAGATTAGTTAAGAATATTATGTACAAAGAAGTATCCATACGCCCTGGATTTTTAACACACGCCAAATAAAAGTAGGTAGTCGCTAAAACTGTGCGAGCGAAGCCGCAGGCAAAATAAATTATGTAAGGTAGAGCTGTACTAACCTTCCATGTTTTGCATTGCGTTAAAAAGGGCTAAGTTATTTGACAAGCACTACACCTTCGTGCAGAATTTCAAGAATTCCTAAGTCAAAAACAAATTAATTCGACTTCACAATACAATATTGAAAAATAACTAGGTATACTTCATTCATCGATCGATCGATACACTATACTTAGATATCTTTTAGCATTTTTTTTAAAGTAAGTATGGTATTTGACGTGAAAAATACTATGACGTCATAACTCAGTATTTCATACAAAGTTTGAAATTACCGTATTATAAATACCAATTACACTACTACGAATAAAAGGATTTTTATTAATTTACTAGAGATGAAAAATGAAAAATCGGAATAAAATAAGAATACTTGTTTATTTATTTGAAAGTAAAATATATCAACAAATTATGTTCAATATACATGGACAACTTTACATTTTTATATAGATATATTGCAGCCAACAAGCTTAATAAGACATTCAACCGATAGCTCGAATGGCTAGCCGTTTGATTGAATGGCTAAATTTCTCTTTCAGGCTGTTACTTGAAGAGTGAAGAGATTGTTAGGAAAACCTCGTTAGTACGAGAATGGAAGCTAAAGATACGTTAGAAATAGATTCGCCATCAAAAATGAACAGCCTCCGAAATTGTATTGCTATACCATGTATTAAACAGGCTAGGTTAGGCCGTTGATTTAATGGGTTATTAATCTAGTTGGCTACGACAGATATAATACATTGAGAATTTTTAACTAACTATCTACATGTGAATACTTAGTTCTTTAAGCATACATCTTAAGCGAATAACGAAAGATTGTTTTGATAAAATAAATCAATCATTACGATGGCCTGAATACTTAAGTATTAGTGTTCAAATATTTGGGTAAATTATTAAATTAAACGCAATTTGCGTGCACCACAGCAATAACTCAATGATTGGTGTTCGGTGTAGTAATACATTTGAAAATAACCTCTTGAATAACGCTTGTTCTAAATCACATTACATTATTTGGACCCGAACACTTCAAAAACATTACATGCTTTATGTTCTAAGAAACCATTCAGTTTATAACTGTTGAAATACTCTTTCGGCCTTGACTTTCTTTACAAAATAAAGTGAATTAATAAAGCATTATCTCTATTAAAAATTAAAATAGCACACTAATCTTAAATTCAGTCAAGCTGAAGTTGTAATGTACATATAACTTGCAGTTTATAGATAGCGTTGAAAAAAATTTACAAATACAAAATACAGATCTCAACTAGAATCATGGTTCACTTTAGAATTTATTTATTGTAACGTTCTTTAGTAACTATCTCTATACATAATTAATGTTAATAAACAATAGACAAGAATCAGGTCAGTTATTTAATGAAACTATTGAGAACTTTTTTGAATCACTACTTGTACACTTCAGTCTATTACTATTTACTGGGATGTCTCTACAAACCGCGACTATTAAGTATTATAAAGAAAAACAAGCAAAACTAAATTACATGTTAGTTCGTATGAATAATATTCCTTAATTAGACCCCCTACTACCCTAAGTGATATCGTGAAGTATCTAAACAATACAAATATCAATTAAAATTCCTGTCGCATTAGCAAAATGACGCAAGCTTAAATAAATACGCCACGACGATATCGTGGTCTCTTATCACAATAAAATTAAGGCTTAAATTGGAAAGCGAGTCATTGTCATCGGGAAACAACAAACTGGCACAAGAAAATATAATACAATCGCGAAATGAAGACTCCTGCCTAACCAGTTTGGTTGTATATTCATTTCTATATAGGCTGAGGTTAAAAAAAGCATATTTCGCTAGCTTAAATCGACACAACCACTACGCTTTCATACCTAAATTATATAATTATAATTACATGCTTGAAAATTACACAAATTCGCTACGAACATGAATAATATAACTTCTAAAATATACATAGATTGCTGATTTATTGCATGATGGTAAATAGAAAATACGATATAAATATGACACCACATCTTTTGCTACGTTCTATTACAAACCAATCCCGGACCCCTTACATTTGATACACGACCACAATTTAATATTATTGTATATACAACAGATATAGTAAATTACTTGATTTTGTTGAGATGTTGGATTGAGTATGGTTTCAGCTTTAAAGGGATCCGTTTCAATTTCATAGGAATGTGTAGTACAGCGAATCAAAAATATTAAGTAGTCTCACAATAAAACATAGCATTTACATATTTTTGTTGACAGTTCATCTTTCTTCACAGAATAAAGTGTTGGCTTTATTCAAAAACAAAGAAGCATCGATAAGTTTCATAACTGTACGATGAGTCTTCGACGGAAGGTAAAGATCACTTGTGGAATATAATGATGAGAAGGATCGACACCACGATGATCAGCGCTAGGAACAAGTAAACCTTCTTCTTACGCAGCTTGTTCTGAAATCAAATCACTTACTTTTTATTTCCTTCTAATGTTAATAACATTTCTTTAAACAAGTTAAAGATTCAGTACTTATATAAAATATAAAGAACTTAACTAGTCATTCGTAAAATGACTTTTCTGAGATAAAGTAACAAAAGTGGTTTTCCTAATTGCATTAGCAATCAAATTATTACGACTTATATGAACAGGAATCTTATCAGGAATATATGTATTACCTTGTAGTTGGCTGCCTCCCTGAGTTCCTGCGTGCCACTCTCGACGTTCACCGTGGCGTACTCCACGCTGGATTCGATCGAGTTGACTACTTCTCCCTGCGAGTGAATCATGGTTCCGAGCTCCTTGAAGATTTGGTTCACATCCATAATGTCGCTCTGAAAGTATGAGTACACAAAATAAAATCAACAAGTGTGGGAGAGCCATTCTTTGACACGAATAAGTTGGCTTGACCGGAGTGATACCACGGCCTAACTAAAAACCGGAGTGAAACAACCACAGCGTTGTGTTTCGCCGTGTGAGTGAGGTGTCCGGAGGCTAAATCCTTCGCCTTCCCAATCCCTCCACAATCCCTAATCCCCAAAAGGTCGACAAAGCACTCATAACTATCCTGTTGTTGCGGGTGTCCAGCGGCGGCGCTGATTGCTTACCATTACGTAATCCACCTGTTCGTTGGCCGTCACAAAGAAAACTTCTACAACAGCCCGTGACAGAAGCCAATGCTGGACTATAAGAACTAAAGAGGGGTTATGGAGCGATTGTATTTCAATGGGAACCAGGTTTGTTAAAGAATGCTTGCGGCCGGCATTTATTAAATATTTAGTCCTTCAGTAGACTTTTACAACACCCGCT